TTGTCTAATTATCAATATGAAATTTCTCATTCATCATGCAACCAAGTTGCGTGATTCAAATTTCTGTCCAATTGAAACTTTGGGCGATGAGAAACTCTCCTATTTGGTAAATTCTCGACATTTCCATAAATAACATAACTAAGAATCATATCCATTCGTTGTAGAAATATGCAAACATCAATTTTCAAAACGATTTCATTGCAAGGAAGTAAACAAATAAAAAATAAGTCAAACAAAATTTATTTTATTATAAAAGCAACGGAAAAACATTTGTCCTTACAATGCAAAATCTATTGAAAACTATGTAAGGAAAATTTCTAACAACTCTATCATAACTATCTAAGCTCAAAAATCCAATCTTCAAGTCCATGCGATCGAGATCCATCTCTTATGATTAGATTCATCTTGCTCTCTTATCAAGCTTCCTTTCTTTTCACCAATCTTGCAAAACATTCAAATGCAATCTTATCGCATCATGTATTAAGAATCAATGAATAGGAACTTAACGGAGTTAGATAGTGGATTTTACCTGAAGCGTAGTCATACTTTTGACTCTCCCATCTCTTAGATCTCTTAGGTAAATAGGGCAACTTCGTCTCCAATGCCCCTTCTCTTGGCAATAAAAGCAAATTGACTCTTTTAGAACAACACATGGAACTACTTCAGACATCACCTTTCTCTTATGATCAAACTTTTCGATCATTGCATGTCTTTCATTGCCATTGTCTATATCCATAGAGGTCTTGAAGGCAGATTCACCAATCAACTTTGCTTTTCTATTGCGCCAAACCATTGCTGATTCAGCAGTAATAAACATATAGGTGAGATCAATAAGGGTCACGCCGTGGTTCATCATATAGTACTCTCTTACGAACTCACTATACGAGTTAGGAAGTGACTGAAGAACCCAATCAATAGCCATCTCTTCACCGACAATGGATCCCATCATTCTTAACCTATCAATGTGTGACTTCATCCCTAAGACGTGTGGACACACCGACTTTCCTTCTTTATGTTTACTTGTCAAGAGGGCTTGAGTGATATTGAACCTTTCAATTTTACAATCTATTGGGTTAGGGAGAATAATTGGAGGAGGAGGAGGAAGTGAAGCATGATTTCTTGTTCCTCGATCGAATCGTGGAATATCATCTTCATGTGGAATACTTGTTCCACGGGATTTAGGAAGACCATAGTTGTCGAACTTTGACATCTACAAAACGGGAGAAAAACGAATTCAAGTTAGTTGATTGATTGAGTCCTTGGTAAATCACCCAAATGAAATTCCAAGGCTAGGACCCAACACAATATTCTACAACTCGGGAGAGGGATGCCGTAACCCAAATTGCAGAACATTTGAAGGTAAGTGAATGACGATTCACTAATTTCCACCATGAAAAACGAAAATTTAAGTTTTAAATCTATGAAAACTCCTAGATCCTTTGAGATTCATTGAACATTTCAATGGCATGTTTAAATCTCGATATGCCCCTCTTGTTTGTGACTGGGATGCCGAGGATCACAAAGCGGGTGTGAATAACCATGCAAACTTACATGGTGCCCTCACATGTTACAGTCACCTATTCGATGTGCCGGTAAACCACACACGCTCCACCGAACTATGACAAACATTGAGTCACCCTTTGCTACCTTTGCTTAGAACCATTTAGTGTGCCGGTAAACCACACACGCTCCACTAACGTCTTCGCAAGGGCACAAAGTGTAATTTCATGGAATTGCATCAATTCACTTTGCCTAAGTAACTAAGATTGGGAATTTGAAAAACATTTAGTTACTTTGTATTTCATTATACTTATAATGGAAGGTTTTGTCCTATCCTACCCGTTCGGCTAACGACCCTCCACTAGTCAAGAGTGCGGTGGGTAAGAGTGGATACCCATTCAATCGCCATTTTATAGGCAATTTCCTTAAACACCCCTTATAGACCAGCTTCGTGAATGAGGCCTACTAATGGTAAGACTGACTTTTACTCATACACACACACACACACACATATATATATATATAATGTTAGACTTTTAATGTTATATATAGCATAGGGTGTATTTTATACTTTTAAAATACTATGTGGTTAACTTTAACAATTATACTTTTAATTCAATTGTAAACCAAAACTTTATGGATTTATTAAACCTCTTTTAATTATACTCCTTAATTAATTAATAAAACCATAAGGGTGTGATTTGAACTTTTCAAAACATTACTAGGGTTTTAGAATTTAACATTCCTAATTAACTTTTAATCAACTTTTAAATTCCAAAACTTGAGGGCAAGTTTTGAAACATTTCAAAACATTAGGGTTAGAATTTAAATATACATCAAAATTAAACTTTTTAATCAAAATTTAAATTCCAAAACTTGAGGGCAAGTTTTGAAACCTTTTTCAAAACATTAGGGTTTTAATTATTTAAATTTCAAAACTTCAAAACTTTTGGGTTCAAATTTAAACTATAAAACCTAAAGGGGAAAATATGAAACCTTTCATAACAACAAGGATCAAATAACAAATAATTTTAAATTAACATTTAATCACATAATTATCCATATTTGATTTATTTAATGATTTCTTGCAAAACAATTTATCAATTTACTCAAAATAATTAATCAATTAACTTATAAGGAAACAATTATCTTATTAATTGATAAATATCTTCATTTAGATCAAAAATATAGTCAAATATATCATATAATCGGATTAATATTGATCTAACATGATAAGGTAACTATCCATATGCAAAAACAGCAAGAAATCCCGAGATAAGCATTATCTGACGAGTTGACTCGTCGAGTCAAGCCTGGACTCGTCGAGTCTGCATGGACTCGGCGAGTTCAGCTATGGACTCGCGAGTCCAGCCTCCATAAGCAAAAAATCAAAATTTTCAAACATATAATGCATCAATACAATAGAAACCAATCTAGGCTCTGATACCACTGATGGGTTTTGGTCATAAGACATCCTATGTGCTCATACAAACCCTAATGCTTGGATCTAGGTTTCTCTATTGTACATGCTTTGAATCCAAGACTATAAACCCTAATTCTAGCATATGGAAATCGATATTAACATATGATTAGGTTTAAGATATTACCTTGATTGTTATGTGGCAATAACAATCCTAATTCCTCCTTGAATTGACTTTGGAATGCTTAGAGTCACAAGTGTCACTCCTCTAATGGCTTACAAATACCAAGAGCAAATGGAGAAGGTATAAAGAGAGAGGAGAGAGGTTAGAATTCGTCCTTAGGACTTCTTGGGAAGGGATAACGAATTCATGAGCCTTAGGGCTTTATATAGGTGTAGAGATAGGGTTTCAGTCATTATCCTTATCTAGTTGCTTATCCACAAAGCAACCCATAAGATAATCCTTGAATCCTTATCATAGTCGAATTCTAAGGCCTTATCACCTTAAATTCATCCAACCTAATAATAAGATAATCCTTACCTTATTTTGTAACTATCACATAATTACAATTCAGCCCCTCTAGTTTAATTAATTACACTTGATCACAAAATTAATTCTTAATTAATTATTGACCAATATTAATTAGACAAATATGATTTCTCCTTTAATATATTATTCTTATAACATATTAATAAATCATATTATCCTCTCTCTCTATATATTTCTCCAATCAAGTTGCTTTGGTGAAAGCAACCCAAAAGGACCATGCACCATCGGGTCAAGTACATACCAAAATAGTTATGGACTTAGACACTAATCCAACAAGTGTTAAACCACTAAAACCTAAAACCTAAACCCTAAACCCTAAACGCTAAACTCTAAACCCTAAACCCTAAACCCTAAACCCTCATTGGTTTGGGTATGGGCCTTCAATTTCCAGAATCTGAATATATACCAGTGGATGATCCACCTCTCTACCTTCTCAATTGCATAACTCTCATCCTGATGGAATTACTACTACCTCATCCTACTCTTCCTCGACATTTCTCTTGGCTCAACCATGTCAAGGACCCAGTTTACATCTTGTCCAATCCAAGTATCTCTGCCTTCACCACCAATGACCCCGAAACATGGTTCTTGCCTCAAGAGTTACCAGATGATGATGATGCAGCAGCGGATGATGACATGCAGGTGGACCCTGACAATGCTGATAGCCCATTCGAGGCTAAAGACCATTATGATCTCCCGAGCCACCAGTTGCCACCACCTTATCCAGGTCGAGCCTCTGGGTCACACTCTCAACCCTCGGGAGAACACTTCCAGCCACAACATGATTACCACTCATACCAACAACACAATGAGACGACCCCGCACACAAGTTTCCTCTCGATATTTACAGCCAGCTTGCTTCCTTGCGCCTCCAGGGAAATAGGAACACCGCAACCATCCACCGTATAGAGGAACAATAAGCACGCACCAACACTTACATGGAGGACCTTTGGTATCATTTTCGGCCCGAAGGCGGTTATCCCCCTCAAGGGCCTCCTCCACATTGATCCCGATATGATCCTTCCTTACTCTCATCCTAAGCATTGAGGACAATGCTTCATTTTAAGATTGGGGTGAGGTATTTCTTCTCTTTTATTTTATTATTATTTTTTTTATTGCATTTAGGTTATATATAGTTGCATTTATAGTAAGTCATTTAGGTCATTCATAAAAATTCAAAAATATTGCATATTTTGTTTCTTTCTTTTCTAATTTTCATACTTTTTAGATGCATTCTAGTTTAAGTTCATACATTTTTGTTCTCTCTTGTCTTCTCATCCCTACAGGTACCAGAGCACCGAGTCATAAGTATTGAATCATAGATTGGTCCCGGGTCTTGATATGGAATTCCTTGTATTTGATAAATGGGGGATGTTTTGAACCTCACAGACCACTTTGAGACCGCTTGTGTGGGGGTCAGATGCAGGTAGCTTGATTGGGTCTAGGAGCGGAGGGATGTGGTTGGTCATGCCAATGTGTGCGAGAAAAGACTAGCCCGGTAAGGTATTTTGAAGACATTGAAGATATTGAAGACTCGCATCTTGTTTTTGGAGAGAGTACCCCTTAGTACTCCCAAGTCTCGTCCGAGCCTTAGTTAGATTGTCACCACCTTTTTAAGATATGTTATTTTTTAGAAGTCTAGAGTAGATAGCTAGATAGATTTTGTTTATCACACCTTGCATTGAGGTGCTTGATGAACTTTGAAGTGAGTCCCCTAATTCACACCTTTTGGGACCAAGTCTTTTCGGTAACACCCATTTTTGAGTCATTCCCCACCCTTTTTAGTTGATCTTGGCACATTGTCAATGATCATTAGGTGTTCATGTTATCCTCTATCTATCACTCAATTTTCACTATTAGAGTCCTATGTTACATGGTGAAATTCCTTAGACCTTCCAAGAAGAAAGCCAAGAAGAAAACACACAAAAAAATGAAGAAATTTGAAAAAGTGAAGACAATAGGAGCCTATAAAAGATGATTCAAGAAAAGCAACAAAAACAAAGAAGAAAAATGAAGAAAAAGAGCAACACAAAAAGAAGAACAAGGTTCCAAGTTCAAGACTTATGTTATGATATATACTCATTCTAAAAAAAAATCTGAATGTCAAGCAGCAAATGCGATTGAAGACCTAATAACAGATGTTTAAGACTGAAGATTTAGGTTGTTAGGTTTAGATTTAGGTTAAGTAGAATTTTTATTATTTTATTTTATTTTTGATTTTTGGTGAGAAAAGGCCCCGACGATGAGACGGTAGACTGTAAAGGATAGTACAAGGGAGAAGCCTCTGAAACCGGATGTTTGCCCGGAGGTCGTACTGAAAAACCCTATTTCGTATTATACACTTTAGCTTGACAAATTTAGGAATCATAGTGTGTGAATATGCACCTTTCCTTTGTGCATTATGGTCTACATTGGTGATTTAAAGTGCCCCCACTGGGCGCATCTCTGTTTCCTTCATCTTGCACACTGCGACCGCATCCAACTGTGATCTATTCGCCCATCAAGTGGTTAAGAATGTGGTTTATGGCTCTAAAGCGGGGAACATTTTGAAGATGCGTAGGGTCCATTGAAGGACTAATTCTGACCATGTTGACTGATGTTGACCAAGTTCTATGGTATCTTTCTTTTTCTTTTTTAGATAGTTCATCCCGAACTCATTTTAGTCTTGTTCTAACTTGAGGACAAGTTTGGTTTAAGCTTGGGGTGATTTGATAGCTTATTTTATTTCCTTATTCTTATTAGTTTATTTTAGTTTTTTTTAGCTCTTTTTAATTAGTTTTGCATTGTATATTATTTATTTTCTTTATTATGGATTGTACCGGGTGCTTTTTATTTTGCATAAGGTATTTTGCAGGTTTTCGGCGTTCGTTGTGGTTGCGGGTTGATTGGAGTCGGACTTAGTCGGCTCCCGAGGCATTATTGGGCTTGGCGGAATCAAAGAAGAAGAATTGGGCTTTGAAAGTTATTAGCTTGGATTATTTGGGCTTGTGAAGATGGATCATAAATTTCTAATTTTGGGTTTGGAGCATCCGTTTGGTGGCTAAATGATGATTGGTGGATTCAAATTACATGGACTAGGGGAGGGGGACCAAAGGAATCTTTGGTAGTGGAAGGGTGGAGTGGTGGAATGAAGGACCAATAGCATTACAACAACATTTGCGCGGGTGGAATTTTCATCACGCGGGTACCTGTGCAACTGCTCAGTTTGGGCATTTTGGTCATTTGGCTTGCCATAACCTTGGGGGATCAGATCTAGAGGCTCATTCACGATTTTCCACCATTGGAGACCTGCAAGAGGCGATTTTGGGAGCTAGAAACCATTTCCTTTCATCTTTCCAAATCTTAGGTAGTTTCTTTATGCAATTAGATTATTGTTCTTGTTACTTTGTTGCCGTGAGTGGCTAATACTCTTATTTGGTTGACTTTGGCTGAAAACCAATGAATGTTTGTGGGTTTTCAAGGATTTATGTTGATTATCAATTTATTCCATGTTTATGATTCTAGTTTACAATTCTTATGCTTATTTGATGCTTTAATCATGAGCTTAGTATTTGATTAAGCAATGGTTGATTTGTTTCATTGATTTTTCATTGGATCATTGAATTTATCTAGAACAAAGGCTTTATGATGGTAGAAATCATCTCTAGCTTATGAATCATAGCTCATTTATGGATGTGTAAGCATTTGACATCCTCTAGGAATTGGGGATTCCTTCATTCTTAAGGCTAATTGATTTCTTGGGATTAATTGCTTCAATTGACCCTTGATCTTAATTAAGAAGGTGTGTTGTGGGCTTCCCCAAACTCCATACTACCTATGAGTAATCTTGGCATATCATGCTTCATGATTGCTATAACTAATTTGGGATGAAGGATAAGCTTAGTATTAGATCCTAATGATAAACACACAAATGTTCATTGTGTTGAATTGCCTTAGTTAACCAATTATTCCCAACCTTTGAGCATCTCATCAACTTGCTTAATTGCAAGGTTTTTAGTTATTCAAGTATTTTAATTTTCAAGTAATCAAACACCCCCTTTTAGTTTAATTGTAGTTAGTTAGTTTAATTTCACTAGTTCTATTGAATTGCATTGGTGATTGAATACAACCATTTCCCCGAGGATCGATACCCCTTTTTACCATTATATTACGTTTATTTAGCAATCAAAGGGTGTAACTTGCTTAGTGGACTTGGCACCCCATCAAACATGTTTTGAAAACTATTTTGTAAACAATGATGACTTATGGGTTGATTTTAAAAGTTTAATTTTTTCATGAATATTATGGACGTTACAAGTTGGAATCAGAGCCACGGTTTGAGTGAATTGGAGGAACACTCGTGTAAATCCAGTCTCAAACTAAGGAAAAAATGTTAAAACGATTTTTATTCAAATGGTTTTCAAAATAATGAAGGAGGATGGGATGTGTACGATCAACCGGAGCCAGTAAGTAGACCCCAAAATACCACACTGTTATTTGATATTGCGATATGTTAGAAACACATGCTAGTGATATGCTAGGGATATTCAGGATCTTGCATGATAGGAATGCCTAATTATATGATGCCTGATAGCCTAGGATTCTTCTTTAATGGATTTTACATCATTATTGTTGATGCTTAGTGTATGCATCGATGTTATGAATAACTAAGATTCTATAGCCTAAGAATGTTTGTTTTGGCCTTATTTCCTATTCTTGTTTGTTGAAGGGCTTAGGGTAGGATTAGATATTCGACTGTCTATAGGGTCTAGTATTGTGTATGGCTATCATACACGAGTGTTGCAGGGTTGGTAGAAGTTTCACAGATGAGTTGTGTGGGGTCAGCCAATCAGTTTCGTAATGTTTAGCCTTTCCTCTAGGGAGTGGGATTGAGTGTATGATTATGTTAGTGTGTATTGTTAGGGTTATTGTGAAGATCCTCTGAGATAAATACGGGTAGGTGTGGAAGTTAGTATGGGCTCGTACTACTAAAAGCATAGGACTTGTATGTGTATTAAGGAAGGTCACAACCCTTAGGGCTTGATTGGGAGTTGGGTCTCCTGTTATGATATGCGTGCTATCTAATATATCCATGGTTTATTTTCAGTATGGTGACAACGAGATGATTTGAGGCTGAGTCTGTATCGGGATCAGGAGCTGGCAGTTAGGGTGGGCCATCTGTTTCTGATGACATGATTATGGATATCCCATAGGAGGAGGTTGTTGATCACTTTCTAGCTTAGTTTCTGGAGATGTTTGGGTCTATTAAGACTACCATGAATGAGTAATTTGATGAGCGACATGCTGCTTTATCTGAGGTTGTTGCTACTGCAGCTACTGCTGCTATTACGGCTGTAAGGATTGGGTGGGGTCAGATTTTTCATTATCGGGACTTCGATAATATGAAGCCCCCAATTTTTTATGGAGATCAGGACCCGATCATAGCCTTGAGGTGGTAATCTGATGTTGAATGTTGCTTTTTAAACTTCTCTTTTCCAGCTAACCAGAGGGTCAGGTGCACTCTGAACCTTCCGAGGTCCGGAGTGAAGGATTGGTGGAGACTTATTAACAAATCATATTCCCCTGAGCAAAGTGTTGTTGTGTCTTGGGAGCAGTTCTCAGATATGTTCTGTGCTAGGTATGTGCTGCTGGTGGAGCGTGAGAGGTTGGATCAGGAGTATTTGGACCTGAGGCAGGGGACGGAGTCAGTGATGGAGATCACCAAAATGTTCACATAGAGGTCTATGTTTTGTCCTCAATTTGATGCATCTGAGTAGGCTCGGATGACCTGTTACTTGAGCATGCTCAAGACAGAGATCAGACAATTTGTTTCCACCTAACACTATGGTTCCTTGTTGGAGTTGCAGGAGGCTGCCATGCGGCATGAGATTCAGACTGAGTTGTAGACAAGGGAGAAAAGATTGGACCTG